TGTAGCAGCAAATATCTAACAAAAATAACATAAGAAAGGAAGAGGTGTCGTTGTATGCATCTTATTTGGGAAAATATTTGGTTGAGATTCCTATCATGTTTAGAAGACACCATCTAGCAAGAGGGATCTTGGTCCTCTGCCTCTTATAATAATCTCAGAGTCTCTCCCATGATGTCCCTGAGCTTTGGGTGTGTGGGTTGTGTTGTAGATTTATCATTTGGAGTTGGGCACCCTACAGTTGACGTTTTGTCGAGCTCCCTAATAATCTCTATACGCCACAAAAGGACAAGTATTTGAGAAGATGTGGGAGCCAATGATTTCTGTAGTGACTGTACACGTTGACACTCCCACCAGCAGTGAGGAGTGTTCCCCTTTCTCCACATCCTCTCCAACATAAACTTTTGTTGGTGTTTTTTTATTTTAGCCATTCAGACAGGAGTAAGATGTTTTCTCAGAGTTGTTTTGATTTGCATTTCCCTGATGACTAAGGATGTTGAGCCTTTTCTTAAATGTCTATCAGCTATAATGCTGTATCTTTAAAAGAACTCACTCACAGACGTGTACAAAGAGTTTTCTTTCTAGGTAATTATAGATTCTTATGGTCAGTAAGATGAACCAGCACATTGGAAGTCGGCATGGAACACCTTGCTCCAGAATCAACTCAGCTATTTCAGCTACCTCCCCCGGCACTACCCAACTCCACTTGGGGTGGGGAAGCTTTATACCTCTTAGACCCTGCAGCGTATGCTCACATGGGAGAAAAGGAGAGCAGGAAAGTCCATCAACGTGAGTCGACTGAAGCTTGAATGATGGGCTACACCTACCTTTAAGGCTATGTCTATTATTGAAATGTTTACATTCACACTTAAATGTACTTTGTGAGAACTTTTGTGATTATTTGTTTTGGGTCATTCTGTTTTGTGCAAATTAGAGACACAAGAGTGATTCCATTCCCAGGACAATATGACATGGAATGAGGACAATTTGAGTATAATTCTGTGGCAATCCCTAAACCAAGTCAATGACTCAGCCAGAAAAGATAGGAGGACCCTCACCCCATCCCTCCCACACCTGCACAATCATGTTAAATTCACAGATGGGCACATGTAGTTGAGAGCTTCTGGTTACTTTTTATTAGGATGTGAATTCCTCAAGAAAAGGAAAGCAGGAGGATCTCTGAGTTTAAAAAGCTACTGATCACCTAATGAATCAGTGTGTGTGTGTTTGTGTGTGTGTGTGTGTGTGTGTGTGTGTGCAAGACTTTCAAGGACAGTCTCAGGTTTGGCTACATAGTCTCTCTGAGTCTCTAAATAAAAACCTCAGTGGTAGGAACTGGTAAGTTCTGAATCCCCACTTATTGAAAATCTGCTGCCATTGGTGTAATGTACCAGTCAAACCAAATTAATAAAGCCAGGTTTAATGGACAGAGCAAAGCCCTCCTGGGTGACCCTCAGGAAGGTAGAAGAAGTATCATGTGACAAATACGGCTACTAAGTCTTAAGGAACCTGCAGGTGTGGTATTGAGCAGCCCCCACAGGAGGGGCTGACCCTTTTTGGGCTTTTCTGAGGGGGGTGTGGTTTGGAATGGGAGATGGAGGAGGGGGCATGAGGTGGAACTTCCACAAGAACATTCCAATCTTTTTGGGTATATGGATGCCAGGGGCTGGAGTAAAGCTTCCATCATAAGAGTAACAATGTTTCAACACTGAACAAATGGGTAAAATAAGTAGGAGACTTGTCCTTGATGCAATGTGACCTTGGAGTAGAGTTTGAGCAAATACTATATGGTATTGAAGGGTACTGCCTGGTTTTACAAAGTGTAGGTCTATTTTGTCTTTGTCTTACTATAAAAGGAGGGGGAAATGAGTAAATCAAATAGATTCTTCTGCTTTCAAAGCAATAAATTACTTGTTTGATGTAAAGCACTGCTAAATATGCATGGGCTGTGTTTGTGTGTTTCTGTCAGCGTGAAGATAAAAAGCTCTGTATGAAGCCCAAACAGTCTTCTCAGTGGGCTCTGCAGCACAGCAGGTGAGTGAAGTTGGCTGTCCTTTTTACCCTCCCTTCTCTACCCAGAATCCAAGCCTTGCCTCCTTGGTATCCCTCAAGAAATTCCTGTCATGAAAACTAGGAGACTAAGAACTGTCCCTCAGGCCTAGGGTGAGAGTTAGAAAAGGAAGATTATTTTAACCTTGGTCCTCAGTATCCAAAGAGAATTTCTGACATTGAGGTTGTGGCTTCTGTTGTTTGAAAAGAGTCTCCCTAGGCTCCTAACAGATAGTATAAGTTGGATTATCAAGGGATGAGATCCAGGCCTCTGGATCTATAGCAGTTGCCCCAGTGAGCCTAGATGTAACAACTTGGGAACATTGTCCTTGAACATTCTCAGTTACTGGCATTTAACAACAGCCTCCCTAGGAATGGTAATTTTTGATTTCAAAGATCACACAGAAATAGAAATTGTCTGACCTCAGTCTTTATCCATTCAAAGACATATTTTTATAACTACCACAGATTTTATGACAGTAATTGAAAATAAATACCTTACCTATTCAACATTTGTATAAAGCTCACTTCGTGATGTGGTCATTTTCAAATCTTCCTTCATAATCTCAAGGAAGACTGTAGAATGTACTCTCAATGAACCCTGTTGCTAATTTCAGCTATGACACAGCATGTGGAAAGAACACGTGAGAAAGATATACATCTGTCTTAGTTAGGGTTTCTATTGCTATGAAGAGACACTGTGACCATGGTAACTCTTATAAAGGAAAACATTTAATTAAGGGCCAGATTATAATTTCAGAGGTCTAGTCCATTATCATCATGTCTGGTGGCATGAAGGCAGACATGGTGTTGGAGAGGGAGCTGAGAGTTCTACATCTTGATTTGTAGAAACAGGAAGTGAGCTGTGTCCCACATTGGGCATAGCTTATGCATAGGAGACCCTCAAAGCCTGCCTCTACAGTGGCATACTTCCTCCAACAAAGACACACCTACTCCAACAAGGCCACACCTCCTAATAGTGTCACTCCCTGTGGTCCAAGCATTCAAACACATGAGGCTATGGGGGCCGTACCTATTCAAACCACCACATTATCTGTGTAAAACTTCTTTTCTGGAAAAAACCATCTTGAATGTTGCTCTTTTGGAAGAAATTCTAGAAAATCTCATGTTGGTATGCAATGATTTTCACTGGATTGGAACAACCCTTATGAAGGGAAAAGTGAAAAAAACCTTCAAACCCCACAGTTATAGAAGCAATTGCTTGGGAAAGGAAACTCTCCAACTTGTAGAGCTGCCTGTAAGTTGGGCAGAACACTCCAGGGACACAGCCTTTGTGAGTCCACACCCAGACTGAGGTGGGATTTTCAGTGAGGCAGCTGCCCATGAGTATCCATAAGTAAACACTCAGGCTCCCGTAAGTAACCTCTGCAAACTCATTGGTCTGACAAGTTGCACTTTTGTGGAATCATTTCTTGCTCTGTCCTCAGTGCCCTAAATGGGTTGAGAAGATGTTTGTTTGGAAAAATTACACAAGGCATGCTAACAGTCATTTCCTATGAAATCATAGACTGAGTTGTGTCTCGTATTGTTTTCTTCCAGTGAATCTTTGCACTTCTGGTGACAATTGGATGTTGCATGAAGACCCTGTCCCTGTTTGTTTATTCCAGGAAATAAGAAAAACCCTATGGGACACTGTCTAGTCTCTCAAGGAAGGGTGTCTTTGTTCTTCACAATGGCTCTAGGTAGTAATAGCCTACAGTAAGAAGAAGGGCCTTTGACCAAGTGAATGAATAAATGTGTCTAATTTAAAAATCTCGATTTTATCTGAAAAAAGGCAAGATCTATATAGAAAGACAGAAATCTTCAATTAAGCTAGACTGAAACCAACAGAGGCACAAAAGGTAGAATTGACTGACTTGACATAAAATAGCCAATTGTTAGCTGTGGCTTCAAGTTTATGTGCCAAGTAAACCACATCTATATCCTTCAGTCTATATTTAAGTCAAATACATTCCCTCTAGCATCTCCAGCAATTTAACTAGAACATCAAAACCAAAAGATCACAAAAATCTTGATTAACTTCTTGGATTGAACTGTCCAGATCCCTCAAGGACTGTTAATGTGTTGCTTGGGTTTCTTTTTCTAAAACTGAAACCCTCCAAGTAAAGTAGAATTGAAAACACACTGCTATGACTATCAATCCCCTGGTCTCAGAGCTAAGTCACTTAAAAATGAGCACCAGACAGCAGCCTACCAAAGGGGGCACAAGGGAAATGGCAAACAATAGGGATCAAAGGCAGAACAGATGGCAGGAACAGCTGTGGTGTGACAGCCATACTCAGAATATGGAGTCCCTCTTTCCCGTGTAGGTTGTGTCACCTCCTGACACTCTGGAAAAGAAGATCAAAGTTCTGTGTGTTCCTTAGTAGATGGTGCTCACTAGCTGCCCTGGCAAGGAAAACTTTCTCCTTGGAATGAGTGGCTCAGGTTCTTATTGCTGTATCTGCACTGGGAGTTTATAGCTACAGTCTCTGTCTTTGTTTTCTACTCCTCCTTCTGCAAGAAACTGGAGTTAAAATTGGATGCTACCAGCTAGGTATATACAAAAACCTGCACACTTAGTTTTGCACAGAATCACATAAATAGATTTTTCTGATAAAAATATTTTAAATGATACTCATTGTTGATTTTTATTGTTTCTCTCCTATAAAAGTTTGACATATTTTAATTAGTATAATTTTATAAGTTTATTAATTCTTTGAGAACTTCATATACATATACAATGCATATTGATTATATTCACACCCAGCTCTTAATTTTGACTCCTTCTAGATCTACCCCCACCTCCTCACTTCTATCAACTTTTTTATCTCTTTTTCAAAATTGATCAATCCCTCTTTTCCAATTTGTACTGCTCTTGTACTCATGAGTATGGAATTATCTGCTGGAATATAGTCAAACTACCAGTGGCCATCCCCTTAAATAAAATTGAAATGAACCCCACTCTGGGAAAGCTCAGTGCTGCTCGGCTTAGGGGAAGTAGACCTGGAGCTTTGAGATTCGAACCAGTGCTGGAGGATTCCCTGTCCACCCAATGTCCAGGCTACTGAGAAGAAGCAAAGTCTGAGCCTAACTTGGCTCCTGGGAGGCGTCATCCTTCTGGCGACCTCAGTCTCCTGCAACCGGATCTTCCAAGGACCCAACATTAAGGAAGAAGTCTTATTGGCAGATTGAACACCAACTACCTTCCAATCTCTGGGGAAGGAGTTAAAGTAGAACCAGGCTTTCCCATTGATGAGTTCTCTATATCCATCCTCACTGGGAAGCTGACTACTGTCTTTCTTCATTGTCTTTGTGATTGGTTTGCCCAGCAATGTCATGCCCTCTGGGTCTTTCTTTTCCAGATGAAGAAAAAGCACCCTGCTGTGATTTACATGGCCAATCTGACCTTGGAAGACCTCCTCTCTGTCATCTGGTTCCCCCTGAAGACTGCCTACTGCCTACATGGCAACAACTGCATTTATGGGGATGTATTTTGCAAGGTGTTCACTGACTTTTTCTATGGCAACATGTACTGCTCCATTCTCTTCATGACCTTCCTCAGTGTACCTGGAGGACAAATGAGCATGATGTCACCAACTAACCCACAGTGTGGAGAGGGGAAATTCCAAATTGTTCATCTCTAGATGAAGAACTACAGGTAAATAGCTGCTGAGAGGGAAAGAATCGATTTCCCCCAAGGATGAGCTCCTACAATGCTTGTCCAATCCCAAGCAGTCATCTCTGGACATGTGCATATATAAGCAATGCATAATGAACTTAATGAGGTGTGTGTGTGTGTGTGTGTGTGTGTGTGTGTGTGTGTGTGTAATAATAAGAAGTAAGTCATAGATTTAGGGAAATACAGGAATTGGAGGAGAAGAAGCAGTGCTCTTGGATGAAGTTCACAAAAAATACTTTTAAAAAGTTACTCTTGGTGGCGCATGCCTTTAATCCCAGCACTTGGGAGGCAGAGGCAGGCAGATCTCTGTGAGTTCGAGGCCAGCATGGTCTACAGAGTGAGTTCCAGGACAGCCTCCAAAATGATACAGAGAAACCCTGTCTCGAAAAACCAAAAAAAAAAAAAAAGGTTACTCTTTCTAGTTTTTAAAAGATTTATTTTTTTTTTGGCAAGGTGTGTGCACATGAATACCTGTGTCCACAGTGTCCAGAAGAGGGTGTCACATCCCAAGAACTTGTTACAAGCCATTGGGAGCTGTCTTACATAGGTCTTGGTAACTGAATTAAGATTCTTTGTAAAAGCAGTATGTGGTGTTAATCCCTGAGTCACCTTTGTAGCTATGCTACCTTTTTCTATACTGTCTTTATGCTGACTTAGGGACTCAAGCTGCATGATAAACACATCTTGTCCCTATGCCATGTAGCAGCTTTGAATGCTTGAGATAAGGTTCATGAACCAGGAGAGAGAATAGAACCTTATACCAAAGTGGTACAGGGACCAAGAGAACAATATGGTGAATTCCTGCAAAGATTATCCAGAGCAGTAGAATTACAGGTGACCTCTACAATTGGTCCATCACAGCTTTGTGAGGACCTGAGGCCCTTGTAGAGCTTCGGTCTAGTTGACTGACTCTTCAGATGTAGAAGATGAAGAGACTAAATGTGAATGAATTTCCTCTCCATAATTCTAACCAGCAACAGTGAATTTGCACTGGACAATAGAATCCAAATGCCCAGTAGTTACAGCTTCACACCATTTCATCAGAAGCCCTGTGGATCTTGTTCAAAGTGCAGTTCCCTCAGCTTTAGCTACAGAAAACTTAAATTGTTATAGATCCTCCTATGATGTAACTTGTAGGATCAAGTTGTATTCCTTTCTTGGATAATTTGTATATTACATTTTGTCACACTGTGTAAAGGTCTTCTTTCTATTTACATTGTTTGGTGCACTCTATGCATATATGTTTTTACATATGTTTAAGGTATTTTGTATATTGACACAATTTAGTACATTTCTATCATGTTGCACTATACAGTTCTACCTCTAATTAAGACACTTTAACTCTACTTCTGTCTTACAAATTCACATATATGTGTGTATATAGTTTTACTGCTGTAATCTTGGTCCTTGGTAAATTATTTAGGAAGCTTAAGTGTTTTTACAACTAGGTTCCCAAGAATTACAGATATTATCACACACATTCTTGTATCTATGAGATTAGTCATAGGTTTTGATCTTCCAACACTTCATAGACCTGCAGAATATGGCATTTAAATGTTTTAATATTAGTACTCTGTTGGCATGAGACACAATTGCTCCTGACAGCACCAAGCTATTCCATGAAATGTTGGGCACTGATGTCACTCTTTCTGGAGTCCATTCTCTCCTCAGCTAATAGCCTTTTGGGCAAAGAACTGCCCCCACGTCGGCCTCTTACTTTGGACATGCTGTCCTACTGTGCTTGCAGGAGATAATTTAGAAGACTGCTGAACCTTGCCAAGTCAGGGTAAGACAGCCTTTCTACCTCCCTGCTTCTGTGTTGATCAGTCTGATACTCTAGGCCTTAGTCAAAGCTAGTTGCCCCTACACCGCTGTGAGACTCTGGATGACTGTCCAGGTAGCTTGCTGTTTCTGTCTTCACTGCATCTTTGGAAGTTATTCACCTGCTACCCCAGTATTGTTATCTTCTTCTCAAGTCTTTTATGAGGTTGAAGATTAGACTGTCACAATGATTGTTCTCTCTTTCTAGATAGAAATATTAGGTATAAGACTTAAACTTTCCAGCTTAGAACTGCTCTATAGTAATCTTTGCTATGCCTTTACCCTAGGACTGGATATGTAGTTCTTGCCATTTGCTCTTGTTGTTTTATTGGCTTTAGATCCTGAAGGTGTATGTTCATACTTTTCCTTCTCCTGGCACATACTTGATTTTTGGCATCGTTTACATAGTTTTGTATCAAGTCTAAATCATTTCTTTAGAACAAAGAGGGAATTGTAGGGAGAGATCTTACTAGGTACCTATGGTACTGGCCACCCCCATTTGGGCATAGCCACAGGTGCAGATGAGGCATGTGGGATATACGCCTGAAGAGAGAGGTGAGCCCTCTCCCAGGGTTCCAGTCAGGTCTCAGAGAGCAGCAGAGACTGGATGCTCAGAGCGCTGATCCTGGATTATCGGTTTCTCATGTAACTGATTTCTCCCCAGTAAGAACAACCTACGACATCCCTATCCCAGGTATGGTAATCATCTTATAGTGGATAATTAAGGAGGGAAGGTTAGAGAGTTCATAGTAAGTGGATAGAACACAAGAAAATAATTTGACAGAAGTTTATCTATTGGAACTTTAGTGGTTGCAACATGTGGTGTGTGGGTAAGAAAGGAAAAATAACTCAGGTACTTAAGTAAGGGTCAGATCCATGAAAACATTCCAAGGCCTTATCCCTGGATACTCTCTGGAAACATGAGAGAGAAAGAGCTTCATCTTTGTGACAGCAAAAGACTTTTCCATAAAAAAAGAAAAGAAACCAACTATCCCCATATGGTAACTCTGTCGGTCTTTAGCATCTTCCCTGGAACTCTAGATGATCTATGGTCTATCAGAGTCAATCAGAGTCCAATCCTCTAAACTATATTCACTACATATCCAGCCCACAGATCCAACCCAGGAAAAACTCCTGAGCTTCATTTTACCTCAGAGGTCATTTCACTGGAAGATCAAAGTAGAACTAGGTCCTTGAAAGGGTGTGTGCTTTCTACTCTTCTACTCTTCACCTCAGGACATCTCAGGGGCTCCTCTCCTCTAATCTCTACTCTTCTTTTCTCTTCCCTTCTCCATGCTTCTTTCTTCTTCCCCCGCATGCCTTTCTTTCTTCTTATTCTTCATTCCGTTGTCACAAGTCCAATGGGATAAACAAAATAGTAGCATGAGCAACTAAGAGATTCAAAGTCAGCAGAGTTCTCTATGACCTTGGAAAAGGGCTATTATTCCCCTGTATATTCTTTTGCATTTATCTATAAACATCTAACTAAGGAAATATACAATGTTTATTGAAAGTGTACATGTATCTAGGCATGTGAACAACATGAAGCTTTTTAAGCTGTTCCTAAGTTCAGCTTTAACTTTCTGTGAGTTCAGAAAGTCATGAAAATACTTGTTTGGCATGTATTTTCTGGTGATAATTTAATAAACCAAAGACTAGAATAAAGTTTATAGCTTATTTTCATTTCTAATCCTATTTTATTTTCTAAGCCATTAGCAAACATCATCTCACAGGCTGAAAACATAATTCTTCTCCTTCCATCCATCTCATATATGAAGAACTATAACCAATGTGCTTCATCTCTTTAATTACACATGCAGATGTTGAGAATAACAGCAGTGGCAATAAAATATTGTGGACTCTATCCACTGGCAAGTAATAATATTTCTTTTCAAATAATGATAAATAAAGAGAAAGCTAAATGCACACAGATAGTGTTTCAGAATAATGGAGTGGTTTCTAATTCTCATTTCTTATTTCCATGGGATGATTTTGCAAACATAAAATTCTGGCTCCTGGATCCAAGATACACATTGTCTTAGTATTTCTATTGCTGTGAAGTCACACCATGACAACAACAACTCTAATAAAGGCAAATATTTAATTGGGGTGGCTTACAATTTGGAGGTTTAGTCCATTATCATCATGGTGGGATATGGCAGCATGAAGGCAGACAGACATGGTGCTGGAGAAGGAGCTCAGAATTCTACATATTGATTAGAAGGTAACAGGAAGTGAACTGAGACACTGAGCATGGCTTGAGCATATATGAGACCTCAAAGCCTACCTCAACAGTGACACAATTCCTAAAACAAGACCATAGCTACTCCAACAAAGATACACCTCCTAATAGAGCTATTCCTTATGAGCTTATGAGAGACAATTGCGTTTAAATTACCACACACAAAAAATACACTTGTGTGCAGCAACACCATAGAAACAGGTTTTGGAGGGTCTGGGTTGGGTGTTTAACTGGATCTATATACCCAGTTTCAGAGGCTCTAATATATGCAGGTGGAAGCTTTACCTAGAACTAAGAATAGTGGTATTATTTTTCCTTGCTTACCATCCTCAGGTGCAAAATACTTATGTGTTATCCTCAGAAGACCAAGGTCCTCTCAAGTGGGTAAATGAGACCCCTAGGTCTTCACTAAATCTTCTTTTGCCATTGTCTAAATTATGGCTTGAGATACTTGTACTCTTTCTAACACCCTATCCAAAGCATGTTCCTGATAAGTTACAAACTTCATTGAAAATAGAGTCAGAGTTGAGAAGATGGCTCAGGCAATAAAGTGTTTGCCTATCTAGCAGGACGACCTGGGTTTGAATCCCAAGAATGAAAACTAAAAGCCACTGTGGTGGGACTCACCTATAGTTCCATTAATGGGGGGATCTGAGGCAGACCAAACGGTCCCCTGGAAGCTGTTGGCCTGACTAGTGATAGTCTCGGTCAATGAGAGATCATCTCTGAGACAAAAGGTAAAAGGTACCTGAGAACCAACAGGATTGCCTGTGATCTCTGCATATGTATAATGTTCATATGCATAGTCACACACCCACACACCCACCCACCCACACACACACACACACAAATATATATATCAAATGCATCTATTAATTTCTTTAAACTATGCACATTTCCAACTGAGCTTACATGTTAAAAAATAGTATTTTGGTTCATTTTTGTCAATAATTTTTATTTTATAACCCAGGCATAATGGTATATCCCCTTAATCCCAGCACTTGGGAAGCAGAGGCCCCCAGATTCCTACGAGTTCCAAGCCAGCCTCGTCTACATAGAGAATTTCATTCCAAAACAATCAAGACTACACACTGAGTCCCAGTCTTAAAAGGCTTTGCAGAGTGTGGGGGTAAGGAGTCTGCTCACTTCCTTTTCTTGGCTGCATTGAGAGTTTGGTGGGTAGAGAAGATGGAAAAGACAAGGACAGAGAGAAGATGGGAAAGATAGAAAGAGTGGAAGGTGGGCTTGCAAGAGTGGGTGGAGCTGTGACCCTCCCACTGCACTACTGTGCTTTCCCACTTGGGTCCTCTGAGTTTATTTTGCATTTAAGTGGGAACAAATGCCTCTGTTGTGCTACAGGCTACAAAACAAAATCCACCCAGTGATACATCTAATGGCTGCATATCACAAAGAGAGGGATTTGGGGAAACATCACAGAAATAATGTTACAATTGAAGGTCCATCACCACTGCATAAGAAGGGGAAGCTGGCCATAAAGAACCATTTGTCTGACAACCACACAGATAAATGTTTTCCAAAAGTTTTACATAACTGCAAGGTACCAAATTTACATCATTGTTTGGCATTGTGAAATGTGTTTTCTCTTCCTAAATGCCTCTTAATAAGCCATTGCAGGTCTATTTTTTGCCTTCGTTGTCCTCTCCAAAAGGCCATCTGTTAGAAAGGCAGAATGGGAAATGCAGGTTTGCTGGCCACAGATGAGCACTGGCTTTCCCTCACAACAGCCAAGTGACCTTGGGCAACTTTGTGTTCTGCTACACTTTCCACTTTGCATAACACATTGAAAAGTGGCCTGTGATGACTGACGTTAGAGGAAGGAACGTCCTCGTGTGTGTGTGTGTGTGTGTGTGTGTGTGTGTGTGTGTGTGTGTGTGTGTGTTGTGTGTGTGTGAACATGATGGAGAATCTACATACATTGTTTATGAACAAGCCCTGGACTTGCATAGACTTAAAATAAATTAAATGTGAACACGCACATACACTCACACACACACACAAGGACTTTCTGTTCTCCTATTCTTGAGTTCTATAAATGTCCCTGCAATCCTTTATGCTCCTTTCCTTCATGGTCCACTGCTGCAAACTCACATTGGATTCCATTAGTTACAAGGAAAAGAGTCCTAAATCATGCCAAATTACAACGATCAAAAGGAACCCATTTATGCTATGAACAACATTGCATTGGCATCCATAAAGACACATAGGAAAAGAATCTGAAAAGAAATTGACAGAAACTTAATTGTGGTGGAAACTTTAATACTTGTTGCTCCACACTTGACCAATGAAGAAGAACAAACACACAAGGATGCGTGTAGTGAATACTAAAGCAATAAGGTTTAATATTGGGAAATATTGCATAATCTGTGCTCTGGCAAAGTCACTCTTCCTTTTAACATCTTTTTGAGGGTCCTTTGAAAGCATGCTAAGCAATAGTTTTTCTGCAGGTCATAAATAAAGATTCTACATTTGCTGATTTCGGCTTGGTGAACAAATACTCTTTGAACTTGTAACCTGGAGTAAAAAATAGTCTTTGAACTTGTATTTATCAGTGTAATGCACCTATAAAATGCATTAAGGTTTATAATGGGAAGTACAAGGAACAGACCGAGACTGCAGTGCAGGAGGCACAGATTCTCTTTAGATCAGGTGGTCTGGAAAAAATCTCCTCTCCAAAAGAGAGAAAGGGGGTGTGGTCCATGGAGAAGGAAGATGGCCCCCAATCCTACAGTGTATTCAGGCATTGTTTCTGTCTTAGGAGTTGAAGCAAATGGAGAGAATCCTACAGTTTGGAGAAGAAACTCAAGCTACCAAGATTCTTTAAATCACCTAGATGACAGACACCAATTGATCACAAAGGAGCAAGAGTCTGAGAGTACCTGAGAGAGCAGGACCAGTGGACCACGGGGACGAAAATGTGGCTGCTCAGAGCCAAGTGGGAGTCATAGCTTTTGAAACAGATGTTGATGAGATATTTTTTCTTGACATTTGACAAAATTTGGTACTAAATTGGATTTGAGTAGTGTAGGAAAGGGAACAATTGCAAATGCCTTTGAGAGGAATAAATGTTTTATTGAAAATTTCGTGGAGCATTTACAAAAGATGTAACTGATATTTAGTCAATAAACTATCCCACTCAGAAATGCATGTGCTGTTATCTCTATAACTCAATAAAATAAAAGCAAAAATAAATGACCACATGGATATTACAGAGTAAAATAAATCCATAATAAAGCGGGACCTTTGCTGTCTTAAATGACAACTCTTTAGCCAATGAAGAAATCCACTCTAAAATTATTCATTATTAGATGAGAAGTAGTATGTATCAGCTCCAATAAGGCACACAATAAAAGTCATGTTTGGAGACAATATCATAAGCATAAATGACTTCATTAGTAAGCCAAATGCAAGGAAAATAAATTAAATTGTGCTTTGATTTAAAATTAGATGAAGAACAAAAATGAAATCCTACACAAAGGAATAGAGAAAAACTGTCAAGAATACAAGTAAAGAACAATATAAGGGCCCAGAGGAGGGAAAATTATCCTGGAGAAAGAGGTGAAGTGACTGGTCCTTCGAAAGAAGAAACAAAGCAAATGAAACACAATAAAGAGAAAATAGAATTATGCAAAATTTCACTAAGAATTGCTGAATCTCAGCCAGATGTGGTGATGCACAATTGCAATCCCATAGCTCAGAAGTGGAAACAGGAGGATCAAGAATTCAAGGTCATCTTAGCTCGTAGTGAGTTTGAAATAAGTCTGAGCTATGGAAGACCCTATCACTGAAAATAAATAGATGAGAGAGAGAGAGAGAGAGAGAGAGAGAGAGAGAGAGAGAGAGGATAGACAAGATTAACAGGAATGCTAAGTCTCCCACCACCTTGATGAGAAACGTAGTCACTGAGAATGGTGTGTGGATCATATAGGAAGGAGTTTGTTTAATTTCCTACCTGGTGGCCCATGCTCGGGAGTCCTGAAACTAATTTCATGCAAAAAGACCTCATACTGAACAGCAGTGGTGGTAGGTGCATTAGGGACTCCTAAATGCCTATTTAAACTGGAAGCACAGGCTCCATGCTTATTAAGAGTTGGAGCCTTTGAAAGGAAATTAGGTCTTAGGAGGAACCTATGACAGAATTAGTGTCTGCATTAAGGTTCTCTGGAAGAATGTGAAAGACCGAGTGAGCAGATACTAAGGCAGGGGCGGGTATTATATTGACTTACACCATATGGTCATAGTGGCCCTACAATGGCTGTCTCACACCATAGAGGCCAAAAACCCATAAGTTGCTCAGTCCAGAAGACTGGGTGCCTCTGCAATCCCAATCTGGTGACAAAGAGCCAGATGATTCCTATAGAGCCGTGGTCTTCAGTCCACCCTGAAGAAGCTGGTATTAATATCAGTGAAGAAATCAGCACTCAGCGACAGTAGCTAAACTTGTCTGCAGAGTGAAGGAAAGCATGCAAAAACAAAAGCAAAACATTCTGCTGCGCTGCACATTTGGTGTGGGTCTTCCTATATCAGTTAAGGCAACCAAGACAATCTCACCACTGATGTGACTAGAGGCCGAGCTGGTGTAGCAAGTCCTTCACTCAGAAGTTGATGTAGCTAATCCTTCATTAGCTACCCAGAAGAGTCTAAGCCATAGCGAATTAGAGTCAACCACTACGATGTTCCTACAAAACAGAGAGAGCTAGCTTTATTCTACAAAAATGCTAGCAATCTGGCCTTGGATTTCCAGCCTTTGTAACTAGAAAAATAAATTTTCCTACTTGTGAGCCACCAGCAGCTCCGGTATGGATGGCCATGAGTTTTATTCTCATCAACTTACTGGTCCCTGATGATTGTTTCTGTGTGAAGAGCACACTAAGGGCTCAACAGGGGTGTCTTACAGAATTTTCAAAAATATCCCTGTGCTGCAGATCCTGTTGTCCATATTTTGAATAAACACTAAAGAAAACTGATTTTGACCGTTATTATTATAAAGAGTAATGGTGCCAATTCTCCCTCAAATTAATGTATAATATTAATAAAAGTTCAAGGAAATTCCAATGGAATCTAGAAACTTACTACAGTATGACATTTTCTGGGGAGACCTAAACAGAGGCTTCTTCATCTTAGATGAGGATCTGATTAGAGCCAAAGAACTGATTCCATCCAAATCTGCCAGAATGATCCAGGGAGTTCATCTCAGTTTGGAGCAGGAGCTTAGGTGAAGGGTTGGGTTACTTGTAAGAACATGGATAACTCATGACAGCTGCATTCATGAGATGTCCTTCCCAGTGTGGGTGACAACTCAGGAATGCTGCAACTCTAGAGTTCCCTGCCCAACTTGCAGATAGCTCCACCGGAGAAACCCCTTCTCTCCTGCATTGCAAATCTCTCCACCTCTTCTCCCCTGCATTGCAGATCTCTCCACCTCTTCTACCCTGCATTGCAGATCTCTCCATCTCCCCTGCATTGCAGATCTCTCCGTCTCCCCTCATTGCAGATCTCTCCACCTCTTCTCCCCTGCATTGCAGATCTCTCCACCTCTTCTCCCCTGCATTGCAGATCTCTCCATCTCTTCTCCTCTGCATTATAGATCTCTACACCAGAGTGATCTCTTCTTCATATAGTATAGATTTCTCCACTAATGTAACCTTTTCTCCCTGCATTCCAGATCTCTCCACCAGAGTAGACCTGTCTCCCTGCAATTAGAACTCTGTGTATGACCTTGGAGATGGTTTTCATGGCATTTCTAACTTCTGAGTCCATTTAGTTTCATCAGTTCCCTGTCTCACAAGCCTCTGTCTCAGAAAGAATGTTTCAAGACAGGGTTAATAGCTGCATCACACTTACCAGAGTATATTTTTGGGTTTTTCCCCTTGGGAAAAATGAGTAGACTAGGAGAGATTTGTTTTAATAAGAAAAAACTAAAGAAATGTTTCTCTAACAGATATTAAAACAATTCAGAACGCTACTGAAGAGCTAACCCAGAAAATATCACTCCAGGACAAAACAGATGTTAGGATATGATAAAAAGTTATTTCAGATCAGTGGGGAAATTATGAATTATTCAGGAAACAGTACTAGGGCAATTGGCTTCATGATCTGAAATTCAAAGGAGCATGGATGACTGACCAAATGAATAAATACATTATCATATTCTACTGCCTTTCTTTGTTCTGGTTAGCTACTCTTGAAGTAGAGCATTTTCTGAGACAGCAGCTGGCAGAATAAAATTATTATACATGTAGTTACTGTAGTCTTCGTGTGTCGTTTCCTTTCTGAGATGAATGAAGAAAAGAAGTGAAATGTCAGTGTCCCATGCAGTCTTCTTCACTTTCTGTCCGTGAGTGTCTGGACACCGGAGGTTTATTAGATATCTGCTGGTAGATGCCATTGGTAACAGAACACAAATGAGGCCAGTGATGAAGGTCAGAAGTCATGATTGCCAGGAACTCATCCCTGAAATGGTGAGGCTTGGGAAAGGATGGACTACCAAGGGAAACTTTGTGCAACAAAGGAACTTGAAACTGTTCTAGGGTTTTCTGTACATAGGAAAAAGGAGGAGAGGAGGAAATTAGAAGAAAAATAGAGGAGGTAAGGAAGAAATAAGGGGAAAGAAAGACAGTGCCTCTGAGAAGGAAGAGGGGTAAGTCCAGGGATAAGGTGGAGAAATGCAGGACACTGTGTGCAAAGGGATAAGAGGCATGGAGGCAGGGCAGAGGAGTACCACATGAGAGGAGGCAACAAACACTTGTAAGCAAGAGAGTGACCCAGAAAGATAGCTTAGTATTAAAGGAAGACACTCCTGTTAGGAGGACAGAAGACTGGAGAGAAATGAAATCAAGGGGCCTGACATGAAGGTTAACACCATAATCCAGATGTGACATGACAGGGAGCATGCAAAACTGATGATGCTGACAAAGTGTGAAGTGGTCATCTCCACAGCAAGCTGGAGTTCTATTACAGTCAGCATGAATGCCAAGGGCAGTGTTAAGTGTAAGACCTAGTTAGCATCATATAGTCAGGGGTAACCTTCCTTCCACCAGTGGTTCAGGAAGAAAACACTAGTAGTGGGAGCCTTTCTCTCACTTTTCCTTGGAGATGGCCTCCATTTGATTCATCATCCTAGTATGGAATTCTAATTCAAACTCAGTTTACATGTGTCTTAGAAGAACAAATCTTATCTGAGTACTTCAGTCCCAAGAAAATCAAAGGTCTTAGGTTTCTGTGTGTGTGCTTGCATGCCTGTGTGCGTGCATGTTTGTGTTTGTGTGTGTGTTTATAAGGAAGGAAGTGTGGATAAACAGAAGTAAATTATTCCTGAATTCTTATCAGTTCTAACACTGCACATTTGTGCCACTTTGAACAAGTAACTTCCCTGAATATCAAAGATACTATTTCCAACTTTGCAGAAATACTGTGAAACTTAAAGATTTGCCCATGCCTTAGCATGCCAGCCTAGTGTTAAATACATAAATGTTAAAGAAGTATCACTAACAACTGTGAACATGTTGCCTTGAACTATTGAGACATTGATTCCAAAGCAGTAACATTGCTTTCTCCTTAAAATTCAGTTATAACAACAGTCCTTATGACAAATAGCACAAACAATTGCTTTCTGTCTCCTTAATATAGTATAATCGAAGTCATCTTCTTTTGCTACATAAACCCCCTTTCTCCAAGAGTGGCACTACCAAATGCAACCTCTCTCCAGGACAGTTTGATGAAATGGTTTTCTGTAATTAGTTTTCACAGGGGAAAAATGAATAAAAGTCTCTCGTTGGGTGTCGGGGCTCTGCCGCTTCTCCAGACCCTGAAATTCCATTATTTATTCTGCATCTGGATGGTAAATGGGAGCATCTCACCAACAGTGTCTCCAGGCTGCCTTGAAGCTGGATTAGTAAGAGGACTAAGAGTGTGAGTAGCTTTCCAACTGCTAAAGGTATTTTCCTCATTTTTCATGTTGACATTTTCAAAATGAATTTGTCTCCTGTACTTTATGGCTCACTGCCAACTCTGCAATGGGAATCCCAACCAACAAGAGGACAAAGGGGCTGTCCCTGGCAACCCTCTACGAAGAGACGGGTAGTCTCCTACAAGGGTACACTAAGTAGTTGCTAAGTACCTCCTGCACTCACAGAACTGGACT